AGGATCACCCAGAAAGTTTTTTAAACCATAGATTGCTGGTCCCCATCACCAGAGTTTCTGATTCACTGGTCTGAGCAGACCCTGAGAACTTGCTTTTCTTCCCCCTGCTGTTCTGGATTGAACATTGAACTGAGCTATAAACCCCAACCCAAGAATTTGCATTTTTTAACCAAGGTCCACATTAGCAGAATCACTGCACTAAGGCATGTTTCTCAACACCCCCCCCAAGAAGCATTTTTAAACATATTTTCCTCCTAATCATCCTCTCCCTGAAATTTTAATCTTATAGCATAGTACATATCTATTTATGTGTTTTAGACATGAAAGAGTAAAATAAATAATTCTTATATACCCACAACCAATATTTGTCCTGTTAAGAATTATGCTGTAAGAAAGGCAGACTTGGTTGCACATGCCTGTAACCTCAGCAACTCCTCAGAAAACTGAGGCATGAGGATTGCAATTTCCAGACCAGCCTGAGTAATTTAGTGAGACCCTGTCTCAAAATAAAAAATAAAAATAAAAAGGACTAGAAATGTATTTCAGTAGCAAAGAGCCCCTGGGTTCAATCTCTAGTAAACCCTCCGCGCGCGCGCACACACACACACACACACACACACACACACACACACATACACACACACACACAAACACATTTTTTTAAAAAGATTATGCTCTAGGGCTGGGGTTGTGGATCAGTAGTAGAGTACCTGCCTAGCAGGTGTATGAGGCACTGGATTTGATCCTCAGCACCACATAAAAATAAATAAATAGAATAAATTTCTATAAACAACTAAAAATAAAGAAATGCTCTATGGGTTGGGGATGTGACTCAGTGGTAGAGCACTTGACTATGCATGAGAACTTGGGTTTAATAGAACCACTAAAAAAAATTATGCTGTTGGGCTGAGGTTATGGCTCAGTGCTCAGGCACTTGCCTCACACGTGTGAGGCACTGGGTTCAATCCTCAGCGCCTCATAAAAATAAGTAAATAAATAAAGATATTGTGTCCATCTACAACTAAAAATTTTTTTTAAAAAATTATGCTGTAAGGGAATCTGGATTTTCTTCGGTGATTCTTGTCACCAGGCAATTTTGGGAAACGTAGCAATCCTTTCAGGTATGAAATATCTGTATGAGTATTAGAGAAGAAAACTGTCTAAATGAAATGAACTGGTCCGAGAACCAGTCAAAGAACTAGGAACCAAAGATCCAACTAGCTCCTTGTTGTCTATAATTTTAAAAACTTGTATGTTACCACAAAATGACCGAGGCGGGCACAAACTTCACGGGTCAGCACAGCCTTTATTCAGCATCTGATAAACCCACTTTCCTGATGGAAAATGAGCACTGACCAAAGGAGGAATCTGTGCTTATATATGTTACACTGAAAGGTGACCTAATTATTGACAGAGTGTGGCAGTTTGGACACTCAGGAAATAACTTGTGAGAATTTGAAATTTGTCTTAATGGGCAGTGTTTTTACTTGGGGAAGAATGGAGGGTCTGGGGTCAGTGTTCAGTGCTTATCTCTTCAAGGTCCCATTGTACCATCACTGGGAAAAGATTTATTTGCGAAAGGATCAATGCTTTAGCTTCCTCCCAGAAACAGCCATTTTAAACTTGATGGATATCTCCTTCCCAGAGATTGTCTTGTCACTGGATGATGTTTGTTTCCTTCCCAGGAATTGTCCTGTCACTGGGAAAGAATGTATTGGCAAAAGATCAATGTTACCAATGTGTTGCCTTCTTCCTCACTCCCTCTTCCTAGGCCACACTATTTTGGGGGTTTTGATCTTCCATATCTTTTACTGTATAACATTTGGAAAAATTAAGATGTTAGAAGTCAGGACAGTGATTAGCCTTTGAAAGGAGGTAGTACCAGGAAGGAGACACAAAAGGGCTTGTTCTCTGCCCTGATCTGGGTGACCAGGCATGCTCATTTTGTGAAAATTCATCAAGATGTATATTTATTTGTGCATTTTTCTCTATTTACATTATATATCAATAAGAGTTTACAAAAACAAATATATGCTTTAAATATATATTAATTTTGTTCCAAAAATGCATCTCCTTTGAAAGATATGGAAAATGACAATCACTGGGAAGAAGACAAACATTAATCTTTTCCGGGTGACAATGAACCCTAGAGGAAGAAGATAAGCAATGAGCGCTGGGCTCGAGACTCTTCATCCTTTCCCAGAAAAAATGGGTTTCAGACTTTTACAGGCTGTTTTATGACGTCCCAAACCAACATGTTCTGTTGAAGTCTGCAATGATTAAGTCATCCTCATTGTAACCTATAAAACACAGACCCCTCTTGTAACCAGTCACCATTTTCTCCCTTGAAAATGTGCCATATGTCATTCCACCACTGCTTAAAAAAGACAGCTTGCTGATCCGAGGTCTGCTCCCATTTTCAGTTATTTTTGCTTATATCCTTCTACTACATGCCAAAGATCCTCAGACTTTAAATGCATCAGAATCACTTGGAAAACTTGTACAGATTGCCAGGCATCACTCCTAGAATTATTGCCCCACCCCAACTACTGGGGAATAAACCTAGCGTCTCAAGCTTACTAGGCATGATCTAGTAAGCTATTTCCAGCCTTCCCCAGAATTAATTTCTTTCTTTCCTTCCTTTCTCTCATTCTCTCACTCTTTTACTCAGAGGCACTTTACCACTGAGCTAAATCCCCTGCCCTTTTTTTTTTTTTTTAATTTTCTAAAATTTTTATTTTGATTCGGGGTCTCTCCTTGCTAAGTTGCTAAGACTGGCCTCAAATTGCAAACCTCCGGACTCAAGTCTCTGGGATTATAGTCATGCACCACTGTGTTGGTTCTTTTTCATTTTCTTTCTTTCTTTCTTTTTTTCTTTTTTCTTCTCCTTTTGGTGCTAGAGATTGAATCCAGGCACTCAGGCATACTAGGCACAGGCATATATTGTGCCACGGAGCTACACCCTCTGTCCCAACCCCCAGAATTCCAGAGCCAGGAAGTTCTAGGATCAGACCCCAAACTGAGCATTTCTAACAAGTTCCCAGGCAATGTTGATGCTCAGGGATCCCATTTTGAGAACTACTAGACTATGCTATCATAATCTTGTTAATCCCAACAGCTATGATCTGGGAGACAGTGCTCTAGCAAGAGTTAATAATTTAGGTTTCCAAGGTATATGGATCAAAAATCCAGTCCTTCTCTCCACAACTTGCTTGCCTCTGGAAGATCAATTTTTTTAAATTTTTTTAATATTTTTTAGTTTTTGGCGGACAGAACATCTTTGTTTTGTATGTGGTGCTGAGGATGGAACCCGGGCCGCATGCATGCCAGGCGAGCACGATACAGCTTGAGCCACATTCCCAGCTCTGGAAGATCAATATTAGGGAGACTAAAGTTTGTGGGAAGAAAATCAGTTTTATTTACTGGGACCAGCATCCTGGAAAGATGGGGTGGGGAGCACTATTGCCTCAGAGCACTATTTTAGGGAATTCAGAGGCGCATGGGGCTTTTATAGGGAAGGAAAGGAGTGATAGGCAGGAAGGCTAAGTGGGGGTTGGGGGTAGTGCTGTCTTCCAATTCTAGGGCTTGTATTTGCCCCCCCCCAATCAACTTTGACCTCCAAGGACTAGTTACAAACATATTCTTTTTCTACAAGTTCCATCACAGCAATGTAAATGCTTTGTATTAGGAGATGCACAGAATTAAAGAAGGAGAGCAGTTTACAAATCCTGATGTCATCTGAGGGTCAGATGTTCTGGATTCTGTAAATCTAAAGAAAAATTATTTAGCAACTAATGTCTTAACCATTTAGGTGCAGCTTTCCTTTAGAATTTAGAATGCCAGGCAAAGGGAGGAGAAAAAAAGAAACTGCCAAGAAAGACTCTCAAAGGAGCAGCCACTACTGTTACATTGCTTTGGGGGTCTTAGACAAATCACCTGGACCTCAGTATCCAAATCTCTATGAAAATAATGAATTCTACCTCTAGGGTGCTGTGAAGATTCAAGGAGATTCAGGGCAGGTACTTGATGGTTCTCCAGGGAGAAGCTAAGTCCCCCAATCCCAGCCATGCCATTTCCTCATTTTTTCATGCTGTATGGCTTTTTCTTCCAGGTTCCTTGATCCAGAACTCAGATCTGTTAAAAAAAAAAAAAATACAGGAACAGTGGGTGATAATGCCTTGTGCCACCTTCACCCTCCTTCTGCTCAGAACACCTGGGTCATCTGATGTCCTGGGTGCTAAACCTGGGCTGGGAGCCTGGAAGAGTCTGAGACCAGCAAAGGAAGGAGGTTCCAAGGCCTCTTGGAAGAGGAGGAGGGAAAGAAGCTGGTCGCAGAGCTGGAAGGACTTGGGAGAGAAACCCCAGCGGCCCACATGCCGCCTGTCACTTACCAGCTTTCCCTGCAGAACACTTAGTCATGAGGCTGTCCCCTTCTTCCCTGGATCCGCTCTGCTTTCAATTGCCAGAGGCAGCAAAAGACTTGAAAAGCTGTGTGTTAATGGAGAGAAGACACTGGACCAGGCTTCAGAGAACCTGAGATGTGGATCCAAAGAGACTATTTAAGACCTGATGCCATAGCTCTATTATTTTCTCTCTTTGAGGCTGTTTCCTCATCTGCAAAATGAGGTTTGCAAGTTCTGCCCCAGATAGGGTTGCCAGATTTAGAAAGTAAAAATATAGAATGCCCTGTTCAATTTGAATTTTGAATTAACAATGGATAATACTATAAACATGGTCAAATATTGCATGTAACTTACTTGTGATAAAATTTTTTTCACTCTCTAAAAAAATCCTGTATGTACTTGGGCACTGCTGTTTCCAGTAGTAATCAGGGATAGTAAATATAAATGCCTCCAAGTAAAATAAAAAAATAACATCTAATGTTTATTTTCTACACTGTAATTACTAAATGGTGTCCTAAGTGTTTCATATGCACTCCCTTATCAAATACTCACCCCAACCAGTGTTCCCAGTTTCCTCATCTATAAAATGGAGATAGTGTACTCACTTCATTAGCAGATATGCTAAAATGGAATAATACAGAGAAAATTAGCATTGTCCCTGCACAAGGATGTCATGCAAGTTCATGAAGCCATTCTTTTTCTTTCTTTTTTTTTTTTTCTTGGTACTGGGGGCTGAACCCAGGGATGATTTACCACTGAGCTACATCACAGCCCTTTTTATTTTTATTTTGAGAAAGGATCTTGCTAAGTTGCTGAGGCTGACCTTGAACTTGGAATCCTCCTGCCTCAGCCTCCCAAGTTGCTGGGATTACAGGCATGTGCCACTAATGGATGCACATTCCATATTTTAAAAGAACTAAAATCAGCATACTACTGTGATACATGCATACCAATGTTTATAGCAGCGCAATTCACAACAGCCAAATTGTGGAACCAGCATTGGTGTTTAACAAATGGAAAAAGAAAACATGGTATATATACACAATGGAGTTTTACTCAGCCATGAAAAAAGAATGAAATTATGTCATTTGCTGGCAAATGGATGGAGCTGGAAAACATCAGGCGAAATAAAATAAGCCAGACTCAGACAGCCAAGGGTCAAATGTTTTATCTCATATTGAAGCTAGAGAGAGGGAGGGAGAAAGAAAAATAAGTTAAAAAAATGAATCTCACAAAAATAGAAGAGAAACCAATAGAGTTGAGGAAGAAGACTGAGAGGGAGAGAGAAGGGGATACATGGGGAACTACTGGGGACAAAATCTACCAAATTATGCTATGATCATATACACATATACCACAATGAAACATATATATATTTATAATGCACTAATTAAAATAATAATGAGGGGCTGGAGTTATGGCTCAGCAGAAGAGCTCACAGATGCGAGGTCCTGGGTTCGATCCTCAGCACCACATAAAAAATAAATAAATAAAATAAAGGTATTGTGTCTGACTACAACTTACAACTAAAAAATAAATATTTTTTAAAAATAATAATGAAAATGAGAATAGTAATGTGCCCTATCTTGAGGATTGTTGTGAGGATTAAATTAGCTAGTACATGAAAAACACTTAGAACAAGGCCAGGCAAACACTCAATAAGCAATAGCTGTAATTTACCCCATTATGCAGATGGGGAAACCGAGTCTCAGAGAGGCAAAGTAACCAACCTATAGTAACATAGCTAGCAAGTGGCAGAATCGGTTCCCCCTTTTCTTGTTTTCAAATCTGTGGTCTTTCTTCCAGTAAAGCACCATCAGCCCGTGTCTACACAATCACTTTTTTTTTTCTTGAGTTCTCACTGAAGATGTGAACTCAACCAGAGTCTGCCTTTTAAAAAAAGAAAAGAACTCAGGAGGCTGAGACAGGAATTCAAAGCCAGCCTCAGCAAAAGTGAGGTGCTAAGCAACTCAGTGAAACTCTGTCTCTATATAAAATACGAAATAGGGCTGGGGTTGTGGCTCAGCGGTAGAGTGCTTGCCTTATACATGCGAGGCCCTGGGTTCGATCCTCAGCACCACATTAAAAAAAATACATAAGTAAAATAAAAATAAATATTAAAAAAAAGCAGGGGGCGGGGGGGGTGTGTAGCTGGGGATGTGACTTGAGCAGTATAAAGCGCCCCTGGGTTAGATCCCTAGTACTCCCCCTCCAAAAAAAAAAAAAAAAGAAAAGAAAAGAAAAGAAAGAAAGAAATAGAAAACAAAAGAAAGAAAAAGATTAAAAGCACACCTACAGATTCCTCAAGCAAAAATAGAATCAAGCAACCAGCATCCAGGTCACCTTATGCAAGCTGGGAAGGTATCAGATTGAAACACTCCCAGGAATCTCAGAACTCAAACTTGATTCAGGTAAACTTCTCCTGACTGGGAGTAAGGTATAATTAGAAATACGCAAATGTATGACTTTGTTCAGTGCTTGAGGACCTTATAGATTTGGATGGAGGAGGGGCAGGTTCCACAAGGTCAACTGGTCCAGTCACCTGGGTTCAGGCTGTTTCCTCATCTTCAAGAAGGAGTAGAGGTAATGCCTTACCTCTTAGGTTTATGAAGGGAGGACAAAATAAGAACTGACACAGGAGAGGCCCAAGTGTGCAGTAAAAGTTAGAGTTTGGTTTTTCAGATGTGGCAACTGTGTCCAAAAGCCATTAGGTGACCAATTTGAGATCAGCTAGTAACTGGTAGCACTAGAATTCAAATTTGGCAGTCCAACTCTAGGGCCCTCACCCTTCACAGTTAAGCCAAAGTCTTTCAAGGGGCTATGCATCGATGGATGTATAAAAGATGATTTTAATAGTGCCATAAATGGTCATTCAAAACAAGCCAGGCAAGGTGGTGCACACCAGTAATCCCAGCAACTCAGGAGGCTGAGGCAGGAGAATCAAAGCCAGCCTCAGTAAAAGCAAGGTGCTAAGCAACTCAGTGAAACCCTGTCTCTAAATAAATTACAAAATAGGGCTGGGGATGTGGCTCAGTGGCTCAGTATTCAAAACAAAACCACAAAATACTTTGACAAAAAATTTTAAAGATATATAAAATAAGAGAAAATAAGCCAAGTACAGTGACACATACCTGTAATTCCAGCTACTTGAGAGGCTGAGGCAAGAGGATTGTAAATTCAAGACCAATTTGGGCAATTTAGAGAGACCCTGTCTCAAAATAAAAAATAAAAAGGGCTGGGGATAAGTTTGGTGGTAAGCACCTCTGCAGAAAGAAAGAAAAGAAATAAAAAGAAAGAACAGAAAATGCAGAATGACTAAAAAGCACATGACAAGATGCCCAACTTTGTTAGTCATAAGTTAAATGTAAATTAAAACCACAACAGGATGCCATTTTACACCCACTAGAATAGTTATAATAATGAGACAATAACAATATTAACAAGAATGTGGAGAATTAGAAGTCTCAAATATTGCTGATAGGAATACAAAAAAAGATACAACCATTTTGGAAAACTGTTTGGCAGCTTTTTTAAAAACTTAAACACAAATTTATCATACAACCCAGTAATTCTACTTCTACGCAGCTATCCAAGGAAAATGAAAAAAAAATATACCCAGAAAAGACGAATCTTCAATGATAGAAAGTACATGAGTGTTTGGTCTGGGGATGTGGCTCAAGCAGTAGCGATGCGTGCAGCCAGGGTTTGATCCTCAGCACCACATACAAACAAAGATGTTGTGTCTGCGGAAAAAACTAAAGAATAATTATTAAAAATTTTTTTTTAAAGTATGTGAGTGGTTACCTGGGGCAGGGAGGTAGAATGGGATTGAGGGTAGGAATTGGGATTTCATTGTAAACAGCCATGAGAGATCTTACCAGAGTGAGGAAAATCTTCTAATGGATTGCACAGCTCAAGAAATTTACTATAAATTGGGCCGGTGGTGCATGCCTGTAATCCCAGCTACTTGGGAGCTGAGACAGGGGGATCGAAAGTTTGAGGCCAGCCTTGGCAATTTAGCAAGACCTTGTCTTAAAATTTAAAAATAAAATTTTTTAAAGGACAGGGGAGTTGGGCGTGGTGGTGTATTCCTGTAATCCCAGTAGTTTGAGAGGCTGAGGCAGGAGGATCAAGAGTTCAAAGCCAGCCTCAGGAATTTAGCGAGGCCCTAAGCAACTCAGTGAGACCCTGTCTCTAAATAAAATACAAAAAGGGCTGGGGATGTGGCTCAGCGGTCAAGTGCCCCTGAGTTCAATCCCTGGTACCAAAAAAAAAAAAAAGATAGGAAGGATAGGGGATTTGGCTCAGTGGTAGAGTGCTTCTGGGTTTAATCCCAGAATTTAGGAGGAAAAAAAAAAGAGAAAAAGAAACTTACTATAAACCACTGGACTGTATATTTTAAATGGGTGAATTTTATGGTATTACAATTATACCTCTTCAAAGTTATCTTAGAAGACAATTATCCTAAAATGTTCAACATCTTTAGCAATAAGGGAAATGCAAATCAAAATGACACAATTTCATCTCACCCAGTTAGAATGGCAACCATCAAGAACACAAATAACATGGCTAGGGTTGTAGCTCAGTGATGGAATACTTGCCTCACATGTATGAGGCACTGGGTTCAATTCTTAGCACCACATAAAAAATAAGTAAAATTAAGGTGTTGTGTTCATCTTTCATATATAACAAAAAAAATAAATAATTTTTTTGGGGGGGTACTGGGGATTGAATCCAACCACTGAGCCACATCCCCAGCCCTTTTTACATTTTATTTAGATACAAGTCTTGCTAAATTGCTTAAAGCCTCACTAAGTTGCCAAAGCTGGCTTTGAACTTGCAATCCTCCTGCCTCAGCCTCCAGAACTGCTGGGATTATAGGCATGCACTGCTGTGCCGTCTAAAAATTTATTTATAAAAGAATACAAATAACAATAATTGCTGGCCAGAATGCAGAGGAGGGGTACACATGGTTGGTGGGACTGCACATTAATAAAACCACTTTAGAAAATAGTATGGAGATTCCTTAAAAAACTAGGAATGGCCAAAGCAGGTGGCACAGGACTGTAATCCCAGTGGGTTGGGAGGCTGAATCAGAAGGATCACGAGTTCAAAGCCAGCCTCAGCAAAAGCCAGGTGCTAAGCAACTCAGTAAGACCCTGTCTCTAAATAAATATACAAGGCTGAGGATGTGGCTCAGTGGTTGTGTGCCCCTGAGTTTCATCCCCAGTAACCAAAAAACAAAACAAAACAAAAAAAGAGTGGAACCAACATATGACCCAGCTATCCCACTTCTTGGTATTTATTCAAAAGAACTAAAATCAGCATACTATAGTGATATGTATATATATTTTTTTCTTAATATTTATAGCAGCACAAGTCACCATAGCCAAGTTATGGAACCAGCCTAGTTGTCTGTCATGGATGAAGAAAACATGGTATATTTACACAACGGAGTTTTACTTGGTCAAAAAAAAGAATGAAATTGTTTTATTGTCTGATAAACATATGGAACTGGAGAAAATCACACTAAGTGAAATAAGCCAGACTCAGAGCCAAAGTTCAAATTTTTCCACTCATATGCACAAGCTAGAGAAAAATAAGGAACAAAGAAAGGTGGGGGAGGAGTCTTATGAAAATAAACAGGAGAACATTGGAGGTGAGGGAGGGGATTGAGGGGAAGAGTGGAGGGGCAGGAAAGGA